AATGCCACTATGGCCCTGGCCAGTATGGCTCAGTTGATTGGACATCATCCCATGCACCAAGGGTTTGCTGGTTCAATTCCTAGTCAGGGCACATGCCCTACTTTCAGATTCCATCCCCAGTGAAGGCCATGCTGGAGGCAGCCAATTGGTGTTATTCTCTCATCGATGTTTCTATCTCTCTCTCCTTCAATTCTCTCTCTCTGATCTTTTTATTGATCTTTTAGGAAATCTGTCACACTTAGTTACCTCGAAATTAAGTGTGACAGATTTCCTAAGAGACCTGAACCTCACCCACAGAGATTATTTAAATGGGCCCAGCCTCTCTGAGGCGAATCAATGAGTAGAAAAGACCAGTACAGAGCATTTAGTAGATGAGGATTTATTGTTTCTAAAATTTCATGTGTTTATTTCTTTAAGTTTCTAGTGCTCTGCCTCAATTTTTAAACTTGTGTTTTACTTATGTATACATAGGAAGCATTTGTCATTTTTAAATCTGTGATAATTTCACTATCCAAATCCCTTTGGGGTTTGTTTTTATTCTTTATTGTTCCTGTTATGTTTTTCTTGTTTCCTTGGGTAACTGATTATATATTACTGTGTACTAGACATTGTATTTGTAAAATTTTTTATAGAAATGATATTACTTTCCTCCACATAGAATTTTAGTTTGCTTCCACCAAGTACCTGAGGGCCTAAACTCAAAGGAATTATCTGAATCCAATCTTGGAATTGAGATGATTTAAAATAGATTTAACCCCTTCACTTCTAGGATATAGCCATTTGAATTACCAATCCAAAGCAATGGGTCTTCAATAGAGTCCCCAGCCTCTTAGCATACCCCGAACTCTAATTGCCACCCCCCATCTCTCAGCAACCCTCTATGGAATGGATAAATGGACCTCCCTAGGTTTCCTTTGCTCCTCAGATGATGGTTTGGTAATTCCTATTTTGTAAGCTCTCTGATGCCTTTGAGATGATATTTTGTTGAGTTTTTCTAGTGTCCTCAGTAGGAGGATTGGTCCATATTACTGCCAATGCCAGGACTTATAGAAATGTAGGTATTATTAAATGCTAGAGGCCTGGTGCACTAAATTCATGCGGGGGGGTGTCCTTCAGCCTGGCCTGCACCCTCTCCAATCCAGGACCCCAAAGGGGTCCTAACCGCTTACCTGCCCTGATTACCCTAACCACTCTGCCTGCCTGCCTGATTGCCCCTAACCGCATCTGCCTGCCTGCCTGCCTGATCACACCCCTAACTGCTTGCTCCCCCGCGCCAGCCTGATCTCGCCCCTAACCGCTCTCCCCTACTAGCCTGATCGCACCTAACTGCCTCTGCCTCGGCCCCTGCCACCATGGCTTTGACCATAAGGAAGTCGGACATCTGGAAGACATCCGGTCGATCTGGTCTAATTAGCATATTACCCTTTTATTAGTATAGATTATTAGTATAGATAGGTAGAATTTTAAAAGTACAATGAAAATAATACTTAAAGAAGAAAAATTAGACTTTTTCACAATTATACTTTTTTAGCCCAGATGGCAGATTAGTACTTAGGAATGTTTTTGGTAGCCTTGGTACCATGTAATTTGAGGAAGGTTACTTCTTTCACTAACAAGAATTCTTTTACTGATAAGAATACAAGAATTGAACATCACCCCTATTCCAAAAGCTATTCTAAGAATTTAGATTACAAAGATGAGAAAGACATGGTCACTGACCTCAAGGGGCTAAAAGTCTAGATTCCTTATTGGTAAACTGGTTATTTTTAGAATCATCAACTCATGATCAAAAAGTCTTTTGTTAAATACATTTTATACAACTATAAACACATTTAAATTCTAAACATGTATATTTGAGTTTCTTTCACTTTCCATCCTAAACGTGAGGGCATTTTAAACAATATATTTTCTAATTCATTTGTCTTTGAATAAAGTTTATTAAATACTTGTGGTTTCTGACTCTGAATGTAGTTCTGAGGCTCTTCAGGACAATGTAATGAAAAACAAATGCAGAGGCCCTAACCGGTTTGGCTCAGTGGATAGAGCATCAGCCTGTGGACTCAAGGGTCCCAGGTTCGATTCCGGTCAAGGGCATGTACCTTGGTTGTGGGCACATCCCCAGTAGGGAGTGTGCAGGAGGCAGCTGATCAATGTTTCTCTCTCATTGATGTTTCTAACTCTCTATCCCTCTCCCTTCCTCTCTGTAAAAAATCAATATATATATATATATATTTAGAAAAACAAATGCAGAGAGAGGGGGAAGATGGCAGCATAGGTAAACGCCTTTACTTGCCACCTCCCATAACCACATCAAAATTACAATTAAAATACAGAACAAACATCATCCAGAACTGCTGGAAAGCTGGCTAAATGGAAGTCCTACAACTAGAGAAGTAAAGAAGAAAGCACACTGAGACTGGTAGGAGACGCGGAGTATGGAATGGGCTGATCCTGCACCCATGTGTGCCTCTTTTTTAATCGGGAGGAAGATTGTCTCCTTGGAGGCTGCCTGGAGGAGCAAGGGGTCCCAGCCCCACACCAGAGCCCCAGCCCAGGATCCCAGAGCTGGAAAAAGAAGTCCCTATGGGCAGTAAGAAATATGGGCTGTAAAAACTGGCGTGGATTGGGGCTCAGTGACACAGAGGCTAGAGGAGACCCAACTGTTCCTCTTAAAAGGCCGGCACTACAAACTGAACTTACAAGGTCCTGCTTCCTCTGAGCTCCAACACCAGGGAGAGGCTCTGGGGAGCACAGACACATACCAGGAGGAAATGGATTATCTGGCATTGGGGCAGTTTTCTTCCAGACGGAGGTGCTCGCAAGGATCATTGTTCCTATGTTGGGACCTCCCCAGTTGCAGGGCTGACTGGCAGCCATTTCTATTTGCTCCATCCTGGTGATTCCCTAAGACCCTGCCTCATCCAATTTACAACCCCATCCAAGCTGTGTGAAGCAGCCTTTGCAAATAAATAGCCTTTCCTTGCTCAGGGTAAAATCTCTCAAACAAGATGCAGCTGGGTCAGGGAGCCCCAAACAAATCAATGATTTGAACTATGAGGAAGCAAAAAATGCCCAACCAGAAAAGCAAAAAGAAAAAAGAATCCAAAAATATGAAGATAGTGTAAGGATCCTCTGGGACAACTTCAAGTGTACCAACATTCGCATTATGGGGGTGCCAGAAGAAGAGAGAGAGCAAGATATTGAAAACCTATTTGAAGAAATAATGACAGAAAACTTCCCCTACCTGCTGAAAGAAATAGACTTACAAGTCCAGGAAGCACAGAGAATCCCAAACAAAAGGAACCCAAAGAGGACCATACCAAGACACATCATAATTAAAATGCCAAGGGCAAAAGACAAAGAGAGAATCTTAAAAGCAGCAAGAGAAAAGCAGTTAGTACCTACAAGGGAGTACCCATACGACTGTCAGCTGATTTCTCAACAGAAACTATGCAGGCCAGAAGGGAGTGGCAAGAAATATTCAAAGTGATGAATAGTAAGGATCTACAACCCAGATTACTCGGCAAAGCTATCATTCAGAATTGAAGGTCAGATAAAGAGCTTCACTGATAAGAAAAAGCTAAAGGAGTTCTTTACCACCAAACCAGGATTATATGAAATGTTGAAAGGTATTCTTTAAGAAGAGGAAGAAGAAGAAAAAGATAAAAAATATGAACAAAATGGCAACAAATACATACCTATCCACAATTGAATCTAAAAATAGACGAATAAGAAATCTAATAAACCGAATAAACTGGTGAATAAAATAGAATCAGAGGCATGGACATGGAACAGACTGATAATTCTCAGAGGGAAGGGGGGTAGGGGGCAGGAAGAGGTTAAACCAGCCATGGGCGAACTTCGGCTGGCAGGCCCTTTGAAATGAATAAAACTAAAAAAAAAAAAGACCGTACCCTTTTATGTAATGATGTTTACTTTGAATTTATATTAGTTCACACAAACACTCCATCCATGCTTTTGCTCCGGCCCTCCGGTCCAGTTTAAGAACCCATTGTGGCCCTCGAGTCAAAAAGTTTGCCCACCCCTGGGCTAAACAAAGATCTTATGTACATATATGCATTACCTATGGACACAGACAATAGGGCAACGAAGGCCTGGGGCTGGGGGAAACTGGGTGGAGGGGGGCAATAGGGGGAAAAAAAAAAAGGGACATCTGTAATAACCTCAACAATAAAGATTAAAAAGAAAAACAAATGCACTTAGCAGATGACTTTGTACAAATCATATAAATGCAGTGTTTTCATCTGTGGAATGAGAGGGATCAAACTTCCATTTTTGTTTTTATATATCCTGATGCCTATTAATTCTTTTTTATCACTGTCACCCCCTCAGCTGGACTTGTTTTATTGTTAGTTGGCAGCTTGTTCCATACTCAGCTCACTTACACTCAGAGCCTGGCACACAGTGACTATCCAATTAACATGCGTTGTTCAGGAAGGAAGGAAACTTCCATTAGCACCTACTATGCATCAGGCACTGCGCAGGTCTCTTTCATATACCTGTTCTTTTAACCCTCTCAACGCATTTCTGAGGAGGTAGGTATCACTACTGTAGTTTTTGGGGACGTGGATATAGATATTCAGAGATTTCACTATCAGCATCATCATTTTAGTAAAATAGGGCCTTAGTTCTGCCACTTACTTTATATCTGACAGGTTATTTTTCTAACCCTCAGTCTCCTCCTCTGGAAATTTGTAAGACTTAGGATAGGGTTGGCAGATTTAGCAAACAAAAGAAATTAGAAAGAATAGCCCAAGTGGAACATTTTATATGTAAAAAATTATGCTACCCATACCCGAAGTTCAGATGTAACTGGGCACTCCTGTATCTTATCTGGCAACGAAGGTTCGCGTTATGGTGATGACCATGCACGTAAAGACAGCCCTGTCCCTAGCACTTTGTGTGCACTCTGCAAATGCTATGCTCATTACATTTTGGTTCTGATTCCAAAGTCATTTTTTTTTCCCCACCACAAATACCTTGAGTTCAGTTTCCACATCACATTTCAGTCAGCGCGGGTACTAATGCCCTAAGTTTATATTCATGCTTTATCGTCCCTACAGCGCTTTCAAAAAGCCTGGCCGAGGGAGGAAGGCTCTCGGGGGAAAGCGCAGAGGCTCGGGCTGTTGGGGGCTGTCCCTGCAGGGCCAACACCGGCTTCGCGGTCCCGGTATGACCGGCCGGGACAGCCACCCTCGCCCCGCCCCGCGCCTCCTCGGCCAGTCAGCGGCCGCGCCGCGCCCCGCCGCACGCCTATAGGTCCTTCCCGGGACGCGAGGCCTTTCCATTTTCCCGCCTTCCCCAGCTTCTCCTCAGCCCGAAACCCGCACTGGCCCACCACGTCTCCGCCCTACCTTCCGTGCGAGCCCCGCCCTTCCGGACACCGCAGCCTCCTCCTTCCCCTACCCGCCCTCCTGAGCCGCCTCCGGATCCAAGCCCGGCCCTTCAGCTGAGGTGGGAGGGGACGGGAAGGGGCGGGCCGAGCGCTCCTCCCGAGAGGCTGCGGGAGGCGGGAACCCAGGGAGGGAGGGGCGGGGCTAATCTCCTTGGCGCCACGTTGCCATGGCAGCGGGGGGAAGGGCGGGGGGAGAGGGAGGAAGCCAGCGGGAGGGGGGGATGTGGTACTGCCGCGGCCGGCACCGCAGCTGCTGCTGCCTGCTCGTGGCCGCGTCTTCCCGGAGGCGGCTGCTGGAAACTGCCGGGAGCAGCTGCGGTGCTCTGCCATATTGTGTCTTCCCCTTCCCGTCCCTTGCCTCCCCGCCGCGGCGGCCGAGCTGACGGTGAGTCCCAGGTGGAACGGCGCCCTCTCCGTCCGGCGCCGCCCGGCGTCCGCGCTCCCCGCCCGGGGTCGCGGCGCAGCTCCCGGGCACAAGCAGCGCGTGCGGCCAGCGCCGGGCGTGGGGCCCGGAGGCGGCTGTCCCGTGACGCGCCCGGACATTTTCGTCCTGAGGATTTGGCTCCGGCTCGGGGATCTCCCCAGAGCGCCGCTTGGGTGGTGCGTGGGCTCCCCGGGGGCGTCGAACTGACGGGAGTGCGGCCCCGGGAGGAGTTCGGAGTTTTCCCTGAAAGGTATTGGCCGCCCGGGAGCGGGTGTCGCGCGGAGGAAACTGTGGCGAAGGGTGCCGTCTCTCGGGAAAGGCTGGAGGTGACCCCGAGGACGCTTGGGGTTCGACTGGGGAGAATCCGCTGTGCGAGGAAGTGGCTGCCCCGAGCTCTCCCCGGAGTCTTTGCAACGCCCCTTCCCCTGGCTCGTCTTGGAGCCAGACGTGCGGGGCGCGGAGTCCTCGCCCGGCCCCGGGCGGACTCCGGCTGAGCCCGGCCAAGTAGCGTCCCGGAAGGCGCCGCCAGGAGTGAACTTCGGGCGGTTGGGTGCCGGGGCTTTGGGGTGGCCGGGTTCGGGTCCCGGATGTGGGGGTGGCCGACCCCGGCACCCTCTGGCTCCTCCTCCAGCGGACGCCCTGGGGGCCTCCGAGGGTGGCTGTCGAGGTGGGATGGGAGTTAGTGTTTCGGCGCTACAAAATGGACACTTCCTGTTCGCCTGCGCTCTTGGGGCCGCGGTTACCTCTGCCCTCGGTCCTCCCTCCTGGGTGTGAGCTGGGAGGGCGTGCGTGCGGCTCTTACGCCTCGAGTTGGCCCCACGGCCGCCACCGCAGCGAGTCTGGAACCGGGGCGGGCGGGGGGAGTCCGGGGAAAGCGGCCCACGAGCCTGTGCTCCATCTTCCTCGACTCCAGCCCTTTCCCCCTTTTTTGGGATGTTTTTTCCCACTGCAGCTCAGGGGAGTTGGGGTACCCAGTTCATTGGGGGCACACGCTCGGCATCTCCTTTGACCCTGTTTCGACTTCAAGTCTCTTTGTAGCGGCCTCTGTACTTAGTTTTCTCCTTACAGGAAAAAAAGTCTTTACATGCAAAGAAATGACACATACTTGCTTCTACCCGAACTCCAAGGCGGGGGGAGGAGTGCGATTATTTATTTCTGGTTAGTTTACGCTGTTTCTCCCGTCCTCCTAATTGTGACAGCCACGTGGCCGGCGGAGTGTAAGAGATTGTCCTAGTGCCACTAGGGTGCCACTTCGCCGGTAGCCGGGGGCTTTGTAACCGGGCCGTAGCTTTCCATCCACATTTATTTTGGTGTTTTCTGAGATGGGGAAGTGGAAAAAGCTGAACTGTACATGTCCAAATCGAAAGACTTATCTGTTTCCTTGCAGTCCTTGTAAGGTATATATTGACATTTTTGCCGTTCTTTGCCGTTCTGATGATTCATTTTTAAAATCTCAGCAGCATGAGGTACCCATTAAAGAGTAGTGGGGAATAGAATGGTACATTATGGATGGAGTTTCCTACCTCGGGAGTTGGGGCGATGTTTGAATGTTAGAGCCATTAATGAGAGGTTCTGGTGTAATCATCAATAATCACATTCCGGAGGATTTCTTTTTGGTCGCTTTATAAAATCCTAAAGTTTTTTCTTTTTACAAAAAAGTCGTGACCTGAAAAGATTGTTACCATTGAAAATACTTGTTTAGGGCTGAAATAAACGCTCGTTTGGTTTATGTGTGCACACTTTCTTAAGCTTTTTTGTTTGTTTGTTTTTGGAAAGGTATTAATATGAATGCTAACATGAACAGATTTTAAGGGAATGAAAATTAATTTTTAGACTATATAAAAATTAAATGTCAAAAGATTGAAAACTTTAAAATCTAAACTTTTGGAGCATTTGGAAACTTTTAGAATTTAAATACAATCCCTGGTTACTAACTAATGCATCATGTTTCATTTTGTGAATACTTTGTGTATTTGAATTGTTTCCATAACATATGTTTTTATTTAACCAGTTTTACTTGAGTGCTAAACCACAGGAAACATTGAGGCTGTGTAGAGAAATTTAGAAACATTTAGAATTGTGTAGAGAAATTATAGCAGCAACATTTACTAGAGTTTTAATTACACCATGATAATGGTTCTTCATGAAGTTAACAGATAAAAATATCAGGAAGGCTTCAGTGCAGAAAAGATAATGGGATTGAGAAATGAATATGTGTGCTCACCACTGAGAGCAATGCTTAGGTGAGAAAGAAAAGTAAATGAGGTAATGAAATACTTACATAAAGCAGAAAGCATTGAAAACATACACTGGAAGATAACTACATTATTAGTTATGGGATCTATCAAATGAAACTTTAAAAAATAGTCTTGTTCTTATGCCAGTTTATAGCTTAGCTATGTATGTGTTGCTGTTCAGTTGTAATTTTTGCATAAGTGCAAAAAGGTCCTCCAAGAACAAACTTTTGAAGATCTAATGCTTTGCTGATTTCTTAGGGAAGAAAAAGAGGCCTAAGATTTGATCCCTGTTAGGTTGAAGAGACAAAATTAACATGTGAAAGTGAGTTTACAATGTGAGATGATATAGTTAAGAGTTAAATTGTATGATGCAGGCAGGTGCTGTAAGTTAAGAGGGAAAGAAAACTAGAGGTTTGAGTAGATAGGGGAGGCTTCTTGAAGAAATAGGGCTCTCTTGCTTTCTAAAGTTTTACTCCCATTAAATTAATCTTCCTGAAGATCAAGCATGAATACCAAATTTCTTCTCAAGACTTTTCAAACTTTGGTTCCTGTCTTCTCCCATCTTTTCCACTAACCTATAAGAACTGTTTATTCACTACTTCAACACGATATACCAGTTTTACTTCTTTTTTTTTTTTTTTTTACCTTTGTTGATATAACATTTTTCTGTTGACGTGCACCTGCACACATCCTCTTAACTGCTGAAGATCTGCTCAAGCTTGAGGTTTAGTTGTAATTTTGATTGCCCTGAGAGCCTTAAAATAATACAATTTTAGAACTGCCTTTCTCTCTCCAACTGAAAACTCTTATCACTAATAACACCAAATTCTTTTAGACTGTAACATTCTGTACTGCCTTGTTTTCATTTACTAAATGTTTTTTCAGCACCTACCGTGTGCCAGGCACTCTTATAGGAACTGAGGGTACATCCTTGAATAGACAAATTCCCATGTTATTAGTTATCTTTTTAAGTTTTATTACTCCAAGAGCATTATAAAATCTTATCTTCTCAGATATGTGTTATATGCTTAGTGAATATTTTATTATTTTGTGAATAAAGGAAAAGCAGGACTTACGCTATAAGGTAGAGAGATGATGGAAAGGTCTTTCTTTATATGTGATGGGTACAAAAGAATAAACAATATTGGATGGCATTGAAAACATCACTTCTGAACTTAAATATGGCATTTGAGCCTGGAATGATGTGATAAAATCCTTATTTGAGGAAGGTTCATTTGACAGCAGTGTGTAGGACTAATTATTAACTGTGGGACTGAAGAGGACGGAGAAGGGAAGAGATCTATTGAAAAAAATAAAAAAACTTTGAGAAGGAGATTTAGAAGGGGAACATCACAAAGAGGGTGGTGAGTTTAGTTGAGTGTAAGGTGAATTTGACCTTTAGTGACTAGAAGCTGGAAGTGTGGGATAATTCAGTCAATATAGAGCTGACAGCTGATGTTAGGAATTTTTGTCATAGAGTTAATAATTGAAGTGTTGAGGACTGAGGAAAAGATATTGTGAGAAATTAGAATTCAGGGGGCATTTGCTTTGGTCACATGTGACTTCATAATATTAGAGACTTGTATAATAACTATGGTATTGTTTTAATAACTTTATTTCCACTGTATGAGAATGCTATCTCTATTTTTACCACCAAAGATAAAGGGACCAAAATAATGTTTGTTATTATTTTCTTCCAAGGGATTTTGATTTATGTATTCCTTACTTCCCTTATCCTAAACGTCTTAAAATTTAAATAAACTTTTTTTTTTTAGGCTAGTTTACATTTACAGAAAGTTGCAAGATAGTACATAGAGTAATACCTCATCCAGTTTTCCTCTTGTTAATTTCTTACATTACTATGGTACATTTGTCTCAACTAAGGAAACAAAATTGCTACATTACTATTAAACTACACACTTTATTCAGATTTCACTAGTTTTCCCTTAGTGCCCATTTTTGGTTCCAGAATTCCAGTTTCTCATACTTTTCTTGTTTTCGATGACTATGACAATTTTGGGAGTACTAGTCAGAAATTTTATAGACTGCTCCTCGATTGAGACTTAAAAAAATTTTTTAAATTGAATTTATTGGGGTGAAACTGATTAACAAAATTATACAAGTTTCAGGTGCACAGTTCTGCAATATATCACCTACATACTGTATTGTTTGTTTACCACTCCAATCAAGTCTCCGTCCATCATTTATCCTCCCACTCGCTTTATCCTCTTCTATCTCTCCCCACCTTCCCTTCTCTCTGGCAATCACCATACTATTATCTGTGTCCCTGAGTCACCCTTTTCACCTAGCCCTCAACCCCTTGCCTTATAGCTGTCAGTCTGTTCTCTGTATCCATGAGACTGTCTCCACTTTGTTTATTTTGTTCCTTAGGTTTCACTTCATATGGTACTTGTTTTTCTCTGACTAGCTTATTTCACTTAGCATAATTGTCTCCAGGTCCATCCATCACTGTCACAAAAGTTAAGATTTCCTTTCTTTTTTATGGCTGAGTAGTAGTCCGTTGTGTAAATGTACCACAGCTTTTTTATCCACTCATCTACTGATGGGCACTTGGGCACTTGGGCTGCTTCCAAATCTTGGCTATCCTGTATAATAAAAGCCTAATATGCTAAGTGTCTGACCATTCGACCTGTTGCTATGATGTGCACTGACCACCATGGGGCAGACGCTCCAACCAGTAGGTTAGCTTGCTGCTGGGGTCCGGGTGATCAGGACTGGGCTAGACGGGTCGGACATGCCCTGGAGCCCTCCTATGGTCCCTCCCCGGCCCCAATCGTGCACCGGTGGGTCCCTCAGCCTCGCCTGTGCTCTCTTGTAATCCAGGACCCCTCAGGGGATGTCCGCAGGCCATCCTAATTTTTTTTTTTAATATATTTTATTGATTTTTTACAGAGAGGAAGGGAGAGGGACAGAGAGTCAGAAACATCGATGAGAGAGAAACACTGATCAGCTGCCTCCTGCACACCTCCTACTGGGGATGTGCCCGCAACTACGGTACATGCCCTTGACCGGAATCGAACCTGGGACCTTTCAGTCCGCAGGGCGATGCTCTATCCACTGAGTCAAACCGGCTAGGGCAATCCTAATTTTTTGAGGTAACTCCGTATTGATTTTCACAATGGCTGCACCTATCTGCATTCCCCAACAGTGCATGAGGGGTTTCTTTTTCTTCACATTCTCACCAACACTTGTTTGTTGATTTATTAATGATAGTCATTCTGACAGGTATGAGGTGATATCTCTGATGCTTTCTTCTTGATTAGACTGGAGTCATGGTTTTTAGGGAGCAAGACAACAGAGGTGAAGAGCCATTCTCATCACAATATATCAAGGTTACTTGCAAATAATATGATAAAATTATGTTAACCATGATCACCTTTTTGAGGTCTTTGTTTGCCAGGTTTCACCCCCATATCCACTCATTCCATATTCTACTCTGGAACCAAGTCACTAAGCACAGTCCATGGCCTTAACTAGATTCATGTACTTGTTTTTCAATTGCCTTCAGAGAGAGGGGGGTGGGGAGAGAGAAACATCGATCAGTTGCCTCCTGTATATGCCCCAAAGGGGATCAAACCTGCAACCTAGGTATGGGTCGGACCAGGAATCAAACCCGAAACTTTCAGATGTACGTACGGAA